AAAAATTCACATGTATAATAATTACAGGAGGCCTTTTGAGAAATACTGGTGATTACAGAAAATATATTTTGGAGTTTACACAACTGCTCAAAATAATGCAACCTGCCTTGACATGAGAGAGCTGAAAGTTTTCTGAGGTGGGGAGGGGTGAGACTCTTAACAGGACAAGTGGTGTGTGTGGCTTCATGTCTTGGGGGTCGTTTGATAACACGATAGCAGGAGTCTATGTGCGCGACCACTTCAGCAAAACTCCATGCCCAGTTCTGCCTTTAGATCATCTCGCACGACCTTCAGAAAGCACAAGCAGCAGCAGAAAGGGAGGAAGTGATGGGGCCGGGTAGGAAGGAGGGGGCCTGGCCAGCCCTGGGAGCCAGGCAGTGAGGGTGTGGGGGGTGCCACCCGCTCTGGTGCAGGGGCCGGGGGGCGGCCTGCAGGCCTGGTGTCCTTGCCTCTGAGAAGTAGCAAGGGACCAGCAGCTCTTCACCCCCGGCAGGTGCCATGCTGGGCAGTGGTTGAAGGTTGAGGGTTAGGAAATTTTCTCATTTTGGAGTTCTTGGCCTCCCAACCAGCCAGTACTGTACTGGTCGCTCTTACTCAGAAACAGTGCTCTGATTTGAAGGCAGTGCCTCCGAAGAACAGCATGCTCGGAGCCTGCCACGGAGACATGTGGAGGGCCACGTGTCACCAGGCTTGGTATGGGGGCCAGATCACAGTTATTGCTTTGTGGAATGTAGGCTGAGCGCTCCAAAGCCCTCCAGGGCAGAGCCCACTTCTCTGGGGCCACATGGGAATAGGATGGTCCCAGCTCTGTCAGGGTGAGCTTAAAAAGAAGGGTGTGTGGGGCTGGGGATATAGCTCAGCGGCACAAGCACCTGCTTGGCAAGTGCAAGGTCTTGAGTTCAACTCCCGGTACCAGAAAAAAAAAAAAGTGTGTGAACGGTGACTTTGTCTAAAAAACAAAAAACGGGCTAGACACTCTGGTGCTGGCCCAGAAAGCCTCACTGTGAATTTTGGAAGTTAATCCCCACTCTCCCTGAATTTCCCACTCCATATTTGATTAGATTAGGCCTCACTGCTGGCTGCCCACAGCCCTGAAGGAGGATACAGAGCCATAAGACAATGCTTGCTCAGCTCGGAGTGTCAGCTGGGTGGCTCATGCCCAAAGCCTGCGGGCCCAGATAGGACATTCAGTCCTCAAGTGACTTGGAAGGTGAACTGGCGGAGACAAAAGCAGGAAGTGGGCTGTGGTCTACCAGCTACTAGGAGTCTTGTAGTCACACCCTGAGGATAGGCACTGTTTTTTTTTTTTCCATTTGAATCTTTTAAGCTTCTCTGTTTTATGATCTTTGTGATTTGGAGAGAAAACAAGGCAGTTATTGACTTTCTTAAACAAAACTGCTTTGCCTACATGCCAGTCTCAGAGCAGATTGTAGCATCTGGCCTTTGAGTGACTTCTCGCTTGAACCCAAAGCAAAGCCTCCTGGGCAGAGGCGCCTGGCGCTGGCACGGTGGTAAGGTCCATGGCTGTGGAGTGGTGGCAGCTGCTGTGGAGTGGCGTATGAGCAGAGAGCCTGAGACAAAGCAGGGACCAGGAAAGGAAGAAAATGAAAGGGAGTGGAGGGAGGTCAGGGAGCTCCCATCCCTAAGAGCTGAGGCTCAGGTGAGATGTCCTGGTCTTCTTGCTGGACAATACCAACGTCCCTGATAGTTCTGAGCAAGCTTCTTCCGATCTTGACAACCTAACTCCATAGACTGTGTGCCCGGGTGTGGGGTGTGATTCTGGACAGCCAGGGGCTGTGTCCTGAGGGGTTCTGACTGCACTTGGAGTGGGAGCAGGGGTGCTGGGGTGGGCAGGGGACTTCCTCATCAGCACTGCAGTCATCTGACGTCACCTGTCTGGCCTCCTGGCCTGGGGGTGGCATTTGGGGGGTACTGGGTGCAGGGGGAGAATGTGAGGTAGATTGGCAGATGCATAGGAGGGAGAAGGAGCAGTCAGCTCCCCTGGAGGCTTGCTTCTGAAGGGGCGGGTTGGAGAGTTACGGGGTTGTCCTAGTGAAGATGGTTCAGTGTCCATGGTATTTGAATGAAACATGTTGTGAAAAATGAGTCTATGACACTTTTAAGCCCCTTGTAGAAAAATATATTCAGAATGAATCTGTTTCACATCTCAGTTCTGAAAGCTCCTTTAGTTCACAGGTTATTGGTCAATACAAAACAAGATGTGGCCATACAAAGCCGATTCCTGGCTGCTTGCCTACATGAAGACTCAGCAGTTACAGTGCTCCCTGGTGACACGGCATCTTCGGCTTTATTGGGGTTGCATGCTGCCTGTGCTCCAGGGTGTCTCCCTGGAGCTGGGAGCCCTTTGGGGGCACACACGAGCAGGGAGATGGGGAGATGGCTGGTGCAGCAGGGAGTGCAGGGGCTCCGCTTGTCTCTGGCAATGCTACCTGTAGGTCAAAGGACCTGTGGTCGGTCTGAGTCCTTGGCCCCAGCCAAGACATCAGAAGGCGCTTCCAACTTCCTCCTGTGGATGGGGCAAGGTCGCAGGACATGCGAGTGGCTTGGGGTGGAAGAAATCAGTGCGGGCCAGCTCCAGGCAGGGCCAGGTCGGTGTTGCTGAGGCTGTGACAGTGGCCTTCACCATGCTGGGTGTGGCTGGCCCTCAGGTCTGCTTATGCAGGAGGTTCCTTCTGTTGGCTCTTGTCATGCTGTCCATTCGGGGGTGGCTGGATGAGCTTTGGGATCTAGAGCCTTCATGCAGAGCCCTGCCCGCTCAGCTAGAAAGAGAGCAGGAGCCTCCGTTTCAAAGCTTTCATGTTGCCGCAGGGTCATACTACTTGTGTTCGTTATTCTGGGGAAAAAAAGAACTGTTGAATTTTTGTGAAATCAGTTGTATTTCACAGTTACTGATTAGGTGTATGTAAGTAGCTGTTAGGTGATTCTTTGGGTAAATCAGCCTTTCTTTAGTAACGCGAGCTGTTAGCTGTTAATCTTTGTCAGCAGGGCCACTTGCTGGGTTGCTAGGGGAGACCCACCTGTGGTGATGTCCCCTCCCCTGGGGGCTTTCAGTCTGTGCTCAGGAGCCTCCTCTGGGGCTGCAGTGTGGGAAGAAGGGCCGGCAGGTCTGGCCTACTGTTCCCTGCTTCCCATTGCGGAAGATCCACTGGCTTCAGGGCTGGAAAACTGTCCTGCTTTTGTGACTGCATCCTGGGACTGGGTTCCTGCAGTGCTGAACCAGACTGTAAGCCCGCGATTTCGTATGCTGACTCGGTTTTGTCCCTCATGCAGGCCGGGGACCTACGGCAGCTACTGTCTCTGGTCCTCTTTACCATAAGGACAGGGCACAGGCAGACGTGCTTCCCAGGCACACTCAGAGACAGAAGGGGCAGTGCGGAGGAGGCTAGTGTGGGGACTGGCGCTGGTACTCCCTGTCTAAACGGCCAGTTTGGATGGGCTTGGTCTTTTCCCTCGGAATCCTGCGACGCAGAGGGTCTGATGCTCTGGCCTCATAGTTGGGGAGCGAGGTCTTCCTCCTTTAGGCTCAGAGACTTGTCTTCTATCAGGGGCTCACACAATTTTACCAAAGGGAGAAGTTCGTGAACACTGGAGAATTTCAGTGTTAAACATGGGAGTTTGGGAGTTAATATATTAAGATACTGAGGTTGGAAAAAAAAAAGGTGAGATGTGCTATCCTTCTACGCCAGCTTTGGAGGTCAGTATTCCCAATCTGTGTCTGCATGTCTTACCTTAGAAAAACAACAGTGTGAACATACACGTATAGGCACACTCCTGGGAGTCATATGGGACAGGTACCTGGTGGCCCAAAAGACAGGCGACACAGGAGAGGTGTGGCTGGGGTGGGGGAACTGGGGAGGGGGCAGGCGGCGTGGGCGGTGGGAGCGGAGCTGGGTATGTTGAGGGTGATACAGTCCATGTCTGCAGAGTCACAGCAACCCTGGCAGGTGACGGTGGCTGAATTAGCTGCGGCGTTGGGGGCCGGACTATCTCTCCTAACCCCCTGCGCTTCCAGAGTGATCAGGCCAGAAAGCAGATGCGGTGCTGATGCAGGGCTGGGGCAGCAGTGACAAGAGCCAGGCCCACAGGCAGAAAAGAAATCCAGCTCTACAAGGTATGGCCTCCCGAGCCCGGAGGGACATTCGTGTCCTTGTCCTCTTCTCTAAGCTTCTACTGAGCTTAGAGCTGCCTGCCTTTGTCACGCAGCACTAGTCTGCCCTGAATCTGGGGTACGGGGCCTGACCAATGAAATGTCCCCTTTCCATGGTGAGGAGCAGGCACGCAGGGCTTGTCTTGGTCTCTCCGGGACCCCACAAAGGACAGCGTCTTTAGCAATGCGGTGACTTGACCTGCATTCGGGGAGTGGGCGGCGATGGCAGAGCAGGCCACTGTGGCTGGATGACCACTGTCCTTCTGGCCGTGGAACGTGCAGCTGTGACCCTCGGAGACGTGGCCTAAGGCAGGAAGAATCCAGCTGAACCTCGAAGAACGTCTTTCTGCTTACTAGCATTTGAGATTATAAAAAATTAGTTTTTAATCAAAAATTCCCAAAATAAAGCGAGTGATTTCCCCGTCCCCCGAAGTGGAGTCGTGTTGCACGACAAGTCAGATGGAAAGGAAAGCAAGCAGCAGCCTAGAGGGGAAGAGAGGTCCGGAGCATGAGCGAGGGCGAGGGCCTTGACCACAGGGAGGAAGGGAGAGGCCGCTGGCTCAGCCCTGCTTCGGGCCGCTGCTTCCCAATCTGCGGGACAGGACAAAGACGCGTGAAGGCAACCCCCAGGAGCGTCAGCCTGGGCACAGGCTGTCTCGGTCCGAAGCGTCCCCAGGTGACGCAGCGGGCCGCCTGGCACAGCAAGGACTCCCTTACCCAGCACCAGTGTTCTCATCGCAGCTCAAGGCGAAACTCACACTTCCTAACGAGAAGCCCCCAGTCTCTGGAGCGGCGCAGACCTTAAACTAGGAAACTTGCAAGGAGACCAGTGTTGAACCACAAAGCGGATACGGGGTTTTGCTTTTGTCTGTGAAAATGTACAGCGTGCCGGCTTGGGCTGTGGTGGCGGGACTGGGCGGTGCTGCCAGGCCGGGGCGCCCTCATACCTCGCCCACCCACACCGCCGCCGCGGCCTGCTTCACCCCGGACACCTCACAGCGCAGCGCCTTTCGCCTCCCGCTGATCAGGAGCAGAGACTCCTGCGCAGGTGTGAGCAGGTACTGTCCGAACAGCCCGCTGTCCCTTAGGACTCTGCGGGGTGCCCCCCAGGGCTGGGCCGGCCCCGCAGGCGGCTCCTTGGAGTTCTTCAGCACGCCCCTCTTCCCTGTGGACAGCTCCAGGAAGAGCAGGTCCGGCGCAGTCTCCAGAGTGGCGTAGACGTTGTACTGATTGCCCTCGGTGAAGGAGCGCTGGAAGGCCAAGTCTGAGATGCCTCGGCTTATTTCCAGGTCATAGAGGGTCCGGATCTCACCCTGCATCGTGACTTCCTGCACGTACAGCCGGGTGCTGTGGGTGGCGGCGCTGACGATGAAGCGCCCGTCAGGGGACACGTGCGGGGTCCCTGTCACGTCACCGTTGGGACCCAGGACCGAGTCTGTCACCCCGTCGATGAGCAGCTGTGGGGGCCTGGGGCCGGGGCTGTCCTGTTGGCACTGGACAAAGAAGTAGCCGCCCAGGTGGGTGTGCGCCATGGCCTCGGGCACACAGCCGTGGCGCCTCAGGCCGATGGTCTTGAGCAGCATCAGTGTCTCCAGGTCCACTTTGTGCACCGCAGGCTCAGACTTGTTGAAGATGAAGCCAAACCTGGGGGCAGAAAAACGGAGGTCAGAGAGCAGGAGGCCTCTTCCAGGGCCAGAGGTGCCTCACTCTCCTAAATGTTTAAACCCTTACCTTTCCTTTATCATGATCTGTCAGTGATCTCATCATCTGATAACAAGACCTACCGTTCTGCAGGGATGGCCTCCTAACCAAATTGCCTATGAGGTCAGGCTGAGTCGATTCAGTGACAGATGTTCCTGGACTCATGCTCTTAAGTATGCACTTGTCTTAAGGGTTTTTTTTTTTTTCACTGTTGGGGGTGAACCCAGGGCCTTGTGTGTGCTGAGCTCTACCAGTGAGCCATAGCCCCTGCCATAAGACCTGTCTGGAAAGTAGGCCTGTCCTTGCCTGACCTGCTCTCACTATTTCTCTTGCTCAGTGGCTCCTCTGTAAGGCGGGTAAGGCAAGGATAGGTGGGTTGGGGCTGGCATATTTGATCTCTAATTTTCAAGGCTGATTATTTTCCACCTCCGTCCTATTTTCAGGGAAACATGGTATCTACCATCTATTTTTGTGGTACTAGGAATTGAACCTACGGCCTTCACACTGAGCTATATCCCCAGCCTATTTTTATTTTTATTTTTAATTTTTTTTTTGTTTTGAGATAGAGTCTCACTAAGTTGCTGAGGCTGGGCTCAAACTTGTGATCCTCCTACCTCTGCCTCCCAAGTAGCTAAGATGGCTGTGGCTGACTAGCAGTGGTTTTTAAAGAAGGGTACAAGGCCGTCAGCGGGTTTTCCCGTGGGGATGCCTTCAAATCTGCTTCCCTTGGGCTTGCATAAGCTAGGGCTGGTGGACCCGGGCTGCAGTGTGAGCATGAGCAGAAGGACGTGAGAAGCCTGCCCCTACTACCTGCTACGAGGACAGAGAGGCGTCCTCTAGCTCAGCTGTTTCCTGGGTGAACGAGCAGGTCAGGGTGGGAGGACAACGGTACAGCTGGGGAGGTAGACTTCCTACCCACGCCTTCACCCTGAGTGAGCGCTGTCTCTTCCATGGCACCGTTCACACAGGAAGGAAGACTCCTGGGTGGGGCTGAGGAGAGCATCCACCTAGGGAGCCGGGTGGCCCGGAGCCGCTACGCGGCCTTGCTGGCTGCAGCGGCTGTGCCCAGCTGCTTGCCTGAGCCTCAGCGACTCTGCTCGAGCAGCTCAAGCGGGTGGTCCTCACTGACACCTGGGATTCTGAAACTCCTGGGAGGCGCTTACAAGTTCTGAAAGCTCTGACTCCAGGTCCGACTTCCCTCGGACCTAGAGAGCCTGCACCCGAGTCCCTTGCTCTCAAAGGCTTGTTGGTGCTGGTCCCCTAAAGGCGTAGGAGAAATCTCTTCCATAATTTTCTCTGAAAAGCTGTACCTCAGAGTGGGCAAATTGCTTCCTTCCTCCAGGAGCGTCTTTACAGCGACCTTCAAGAGCCAGAGTGTGGCCAGAGCGAGACAGCCCTGCCGTGAGATCTCGGGGTCTGGGGACTCGGGGGGCAGCTCACTGTGCTGGCAGGGACAACTTCACAGAAAATCTTAGGGCTTCTGAAACAAGTAGGGAGGGGCGAGGGAGGGGAGCGGCTGCACTCGAGGCCATGGCGGTTACTGTTGGGTTGCTGTTTTGGATGGAGGCAAACCACGGCCTCAGGAGGCCTTGGCTCTTCGTGGGCCCTGCTCAGATGTCCTGGGGGCACCTGGAGGAACCGTGGGTGGTGGTTGGCTGGGAATGGGGCAGAATGGGAGCCTGAAGGAAGACCTGGGTTTACCTTTTCTCACTCTGACAGGTCACGCCTGTGTAACTTTGGTTGGCGTCTTCACTCTCTGGGCCTCAGTGTCCCCACTTGTAAAGTGAGTCCGGACCACCTCCACTAGGTTTTTGTGTCTACTGAACAGGATGTTGGTTAGCCACTGTTGGTTCCTTCTTTCCTCTGTGGCCTTCGCCTGGAGCGTGAGACTTCCGGACATCACCAGGCCCCTGGATGTGTCAGGAGGTGGGCACCGCCCAACTACCACGGAGGTGCTGAGCAGTGAGGACTAGGCTCTGGGTCTGCTTTGCCAGAGATGGATTCATTTCTCCACCCCTTTCTGTGGAGTCTGAAGCCTGTAGAGGAGGAGTGGGGAGAGGGAGGAAGGGGCCTGCCCCACCGGGCAGGGCGGCCGTGGCAGGGCTGGGCCAGGCATGGAGCGCTTAGTGGTATGGGGGCCAGGCTCACCTGATGTGGTTGATGATGAGGTTCGTTGGCGGAATGAAGAAATCGTCCACTCCTGAGAACGGTGTTCGGATGAGGTGCTGACCCTGGCCAGTGCTGGCTTCTGTGATCACCTACAATGCAGAGCAGGTCCTTGCGAGGGCCTGCCAGGTGGGGGACACCTGGAGACACCTGCATGCTCCAGGGTGGAGCCCCAGAGGGGTGCTCGGAGAGAGACGGTGGCTACACCGGTCTCAGGCAAGGGACAGGAGCCATGCAGGGGCTGCTTGGGAATGTCAGAGGCAGGAAGGGAAGGGGTGGTGGATAGGAGAGGAGGCCCGGGCACTCTCTCCTGCCGGATCGGCCCCCTGGTGGCAGACTGGGACTGACGGATGGTGTCGGGCTTTTGAGGTCCCCCGAATGGAAACATCACTCTGATGTTTCAGAGACAACTTCCTCCCGCCCAGGGAAGTCTACCTTTTCAATTTTGAGGCCACCTTGGGGGCAAAAGGGAGAGTGTGTTGAATAATTAAAATGTTAAGTGGTGGAACTGTTTCCTGGGCATTTATTTGCATTAAGTGCCAGGTGCCTGGGCCAGCTTGTTGGGAATCTCTGCCTTCTTCGGAATGGATTAGAGAAGGCCAGACTCGCGCCAGGCTGACACTCAGATGCTGCTCCTGCCGCTTGGTGTCTTGTAATTAGAATGCTAGGGAGGCTCTGGCTTCACAAAGGGACTCGCAGTGAAAACTAAGGAATTGGGCCTGGTGCTTTGCACAAACTGAGTGTGCTTCTGTTTCCCTAGAGGTAGTGCTTTCTTCACTGGGGCCTTGGACGGGGTGGCCAGAGCCATCCCCTGCTCTGTTTGTGTGTGTCAGGACAGAGCTGGGTGGTGTGTAAGGCCAGACAGGACCAGAGTGGCCTGGGGTGCCGAGGGTGGCCTGTCCCCTGCCCTCTGCACATACTCATCAATCAGCATTCAAGTTCTAGGCCATTCCTGGAAACAGGCAGACCTTCCCCTGCAGTGGCTTTCTAATCCACAGGCGCTAAGGACCAGGGCAGGATGGGCAGGTCCTGGCCCCTGCACAGGAAGCTGAGCTGTTTTTCTTGGTGATGATTTGGTAGCTGTGTATGCAGAATGGAGGGTCCCAACTTCTGCAGCCCGGGGCTGGGCCTGCAGGTGAGGGGGTCTCAGGTGTAGGCTTCCCACTCACATAGCCCGGGAGTTGTCCACACTTCTGCTTCACAGGAACGGGGCTGCCTCTGGCTTTTACTTTCACGACAAAACAAACAGCACCTGCCCTTCCTCCTCAGGCAAGTCTGAGTCTTTTTTCCAGGCAGTGTGCTGGAGTGGATGGAGGTGTACTGTGATTTTCAGTCTTGGAGCAGCTCTAAAGTTGCACTGGGTTATTTTCCTGTGATTCTTTCTCTCTCTTTTTTTTTTTTTAATGGCCAAATGACACTGGGGTGGCAATTCCTTGGGAGAAAAACTGATAGAACTAGGTATTAAGAACAGATGTACATTAGGAAACTGATCTTAGAGCATTTGAGGGAAAATGCCAGAGGATTCCAAGGCGGCACACAATCATAGCTGATACCAGGCTGTCCTTTCGGCTTATAATAGAGTTGGAAAATTACAGGCTGTCATCGGTCAGCGTCGCTCACGCTTCACTGCCCTGACACCCCCTATTCAGAGGTGACTTCATCAAAACTCAGTACTGCGGGCCATCGAGCGGATGTGGGCATGTCAGCCTGGCTTCTCAGAGGCCCTGTTCCTTCTCAGCCTCGTCTCGTATCCTGGCAAGTCTCCCTTTTGGACATGTGTCCGAAAGAGAACTGTTAAGCCCCAGGTTCCCGTGGGCTTGGCTCAGGAAATACACATATATGCCTGAGTGTTGGGCGATGCCAGTGGCTGTAAGGCTGGGCACAGGAAGGCTGGGCATCTCCTTTGGATGGGAGGATGAAGCCGGTTCAGAAGTGACACTGGGAGAGGAGGGGCAAGAAGGTGTCCAGAGGGAACAGACTGGGAGGCCGCCAGCAGCTGGGCCGGGGAGAGGGTGGCAGAAGCAGGCTGGGCAGGCGGAAGTCGAGAGGGTACCGAATGTTTATATCCCAAGCTGGCCTCAGTGTAACAAGCCTCATTTATACACATTTCTGTGTGCAGTGAGAGCAAATCTGAATAAATCCCTTAAGGTCGCCATGGTTGGAAAGAATATTAGGTTGTTTTTAACATTTTGCTAATATAAACAGTGTAGTGGCTGATGATGCTGCGGCTAAATCTTTGCACAGCCTCTGGATACATTCTGAGAAGTCAAGATCGTTGGGGAAGGAAACATTCTTTGCAGGCTTTGGTTCATATTTCCCAGGGCTCATCACAAAGGCTGCGCCAGTTAACGCTGCCAGGCGGTGTCTGCTGACACTGGTTTCCTTAATGCAAACCTCTAGCGATGGAGGTAAATTTATTTAAACCTTATTTTTTGGTAAACTTTAAGTTTTGGTGGTATAAACCATTTCCTAGACATCCGGTTATAGTGGTGATGGTCATCATTTTCTCATCCCACATGTTAAGTTGTTTTGCTATTGGATTTAAGGATATTTATTATATTTAAGAAATTTTTGTCATTCCTGTGTTTAGGATTTTTATCAAGAATGTCTACTTAATTAAGTGTCTTTTGAACTTTAAATGAAAATATCTTTTTCCCCCTTTTTTAATTTGTGGGTGTTATGAACGTACACTGGTTTACTGAGAATAAACCTTCATTGTATCCTTGGTCCTGCCGGGGTTCCTGAGGTGCATTCCCTGACTCTATTTCCAATATGTGTTTAGAATTTTGCTTCTGTATTTGTAGGTGAGATTAATTTATAGTTCTTTATTGATTTTTATTTATGGTTCTTTAAATACTATTTTTAATTAGTTTTTATAATTACAACTAAACTGGCTAGGGTGCTACGCATTTTCTCTCCTATGGTCTGTGACAGTTCCAACAAACTTAAAATTATCTGTATTTTGAAGCCTCAATAAAATTCAGCTGTACATTTTTAATGGTCGATCTTTACTCTTAAAAATATCTGCTATGGTAATTGTTCTATTTGAAATTTTCCTTTTCTGAGGTCAGGTTTTTGTTTTTTTGTTTTTGCATTTTGGTTCCGAGAATCGAGCTCAGAACCTTGTGCTTGCCAGACAGGCGCTGTGCCACTGAGCTATATCGCCAGCCTGGTTTTGCATTTTGTAAGCATGCAATTCTTCTAGGTTTAAAAATTTTCCACTCCAGAGCTGTGAGGTCGTATTTATTTTTAACTATTTTCATTCTCTTATATCTGCAAAAATATTCTGTCTCATTTCTCATGTTGTCTATTTTTATTCTTTCTTCTTTACTAGTGTTGTGAGGGATTATTCTGTTTTTGTTTTGTTTCCTACTAATGTCAGTTCTTATTCTTTCTTAACACCTTGTTCTTTTTCTAATTTCTTAACACAAACACTTCCTTTGCAGGGTTCCTTTGCAAATACTCCTTGCATACAGATTTTTCAGTGTTCCTATTGTTTTGATGTGAAGTAGTCTCTTCTAAAATTGCTTTTGATATAATAGCTATTGAGGAGTGTTTTCTTAATGGGTTGCCTTTTAATTATTTCTAATTATCAGGTAATATAACCTATAACATCTAATTCTACAAATATTTTAAAATTTTTTTATGATTAATGATACACTTTTACATATGTGGACAGGTGAAAAAAATCGTATTCGGCACACAAAAAGTCTTCCATATAGTATTAAATTTAGGACCTGGGCGTGGCGATGCAAACCTGTAATCCAGGCATTCAGGAGGCTGAGGCAGGAGGATCGTTGCAAGTTTGAGACCAGCCTGGGCTACAAAGTGAGCTCAAGGCCAGCCTAACCTGCATAGCCAGACCCTGTCTCAAAAAGACAAAAAAAAGTATTAAATTCAGCTTTCTGTTGGTACAGTATGGATACTTTTTTATGTCATTATTTTGTCTCCTTGGTAGGTATAATCTAAGTCCATTTTAAATTAAGTTGTTATTGCAGGTAATCACTCTTATGTACTTAGCTATGTTTTTTGACCCATCAGCTTTTCGTATCATATAATCACTCTTGCTTTCCAGAGCCTTTAATCTCAAATTCCACCTTGTCTGATATTCATGTTCCCTCTCATGGGTGTCTTTGTATCACTAGACTCACACCTCTGCATCTGAGTTTTTATTATCACTTTGTTTTATTGTGTCCTTTGTAAAAAGTTTTCTTTTTGAAAGCCCAGTCTGATCATCTCTGCTCTTCATAATTTAGTTTGTCACATTTAGAATAATGAGCTATTCACTCCTTAACATGCTCTATATCTTCTCTCATTCCAGTAAAGAGAGTTTTGAGCACTTTTTACTTTATCCTCCTAACTTTCACCCCTTAGTTTTATGTTTATTAAAATAACTTATCATCATTTTTCACACCTTGACATCAGAATTTCTTTCTAGCCTCTCCTTATTTAGCAGCACTGTGTACCTTTCCAGTCTTTCCTTATCCTTTTTTAAAATCTTCCTCTCAGTCCAAGAATGCTTGTTTCTCTTTTTCTCACTGTCTTGATGTCTCTGACGGGGTTGACCAGATGTTTGTCTAGTGTCTTTCTTCAGTGTATTCAGTGAGCAATATAGCCTCCCTGTTCTCGCCCACCCTTCTATCTTTCTTTTGACTGGGTGTGTAAATGATGCCTTGGCTGGGCTAGGACTCGTGGATTTCAGGCCTTTCATCCTCTTGGTGTGCAGATGTGAGGCCATGGTCTTCCACCTGTCATTATGGATGAGTTCAATGCCAACCTGACTGTTTTGTCTTTTATAGGTAACTTGTTCTTTCTGCCCTGAAAGATCTTCCCTTACATTTCCTCTTTTTTCTGGGAGTCCTAGAATTTTACTAAGAAGGACACAGCAATGTAGACTAGAACCTGTAGATCTTGTTAGTCTACATGCTTAAGTTTCTTATGCATTATCAGGAAAGTCCTCTCTTTTTTTTTTTTTTTTTTGGTTTTTTCTCCGGTACCGGGAACCGAACTCACGACCTTGCGCTTGCCAGGCAGGCGCTTTGCCGCTGAGCTAAATCCCCAGCCCCTTGCTTAAGTTTCTTGAATTTGGAATTTTCATTCCAAATTTAATATTAGGTTCCGTTTCACTGTGACCTTTTCTTTCTCTAACCTTCTATGGTTCCTAGGTCACGTTTCAGTCTTGTCAGATGTTTGCTCTGTGTTTTCAGAAAGATATTTTTTGTTCTTTCTTTCAGGCTATTTTTTGGGGTGGGGGTGGGGATCAGTAGGAAACATGCATTCTTCTAGCTCATCTTCTGCAGTTTTGATATTTTTGTTCCCTTTTAGTTGAAGAACAAAACAAAACAATAAAACCTTTGTTCTCTTTGGTGGGCCTTCTCCTTGAGTTTCCTTTAAGTGCTTTCTTAGCATTTTTGATCGGTCCTTCCAGGAGCTCTATTTCTCTGAACATACACTCTGTTGGGGTGACTTGCCATGGTTTTTAGACCCTCTGATGAGTTATTACGGGGACCCGGGACTGGTTGGTACACACGTGGGTGACTGTAGCCTCAGCTGACAGAGGTGCAGTCGTGTCTTGCCTGGTCTAGCAGGAGGTAGGCAGGAGGTCAGTGCCTAGGAGGGAGCTGCTTGTGACCCTGGTCTCCTGGCTGTCCACCAGTTTTGGAAACAGAGCACGACTGTCTCCTTCTGCAGTTCCCTTCAGCTGGGTTTCTGAGAGAGAATTAAACTCTGTTGGCCCAAGTCATCCATTGTCTGTAATGGAAGAGTTCCTCTCCTGAACATCTAGAAATCTCTTGGAGAAAATCAAGCAAACAGCCACTCAAGTCACTTTACGCAGGGCTTATTCCTCTCATGATTTCCTCCTGAGAAGCGCTGGGTCAGGCACACACAGTGCAGGGTGTGGCTGACCTTCCCTGGCTGGCAGAGGAAGGTGTGCCCCAGGTCTGTGGAGCCTAAGCTCATCCCGGGGAGCAGTAAGTAAAGGACAGGGGTCTGAATGCCCAGCCAACCTGCGCAGCCACACTGCTTGGGCTGGACAACAGACAAATTGCTTAACTTTTCTGGCACACTGTGGACACCTAGTAAATGTACTTTTGTTTCAAAAATGTTCAGGCATCGTCCCTGATGTAGTGGGGTTGAGGGATGGTGGGACCTCTATGAGGTAATTGGGTAATAGGGACTCCATCCTCCTGGAGGGCTTAATGAGCTCTGATGGGAATGGCTTGTTGTCATGAGAGCACGTTGTTATAAAGGGGACCTGGCCCTTCTCACTGTCTTGCACATGGGATTTTTCTGTGTGTTCCTCCTACCCACATCTCTCCTATGGACAAGATGCAGTGGGAAATTGAGGAGTGGATAAGAAAAATGTGGTATTTTTATACAATGGAGTATTACTCAGCTATAAAGAAAGATAAACTCGAGGCTTTTATAGGTAGATGGATGCAACTAGAGACCATACTCAGAAGTGAAATAAATCAGACCTGCATGTGTAAATACTGTATTGTCTCCTTAGTATAAGAACTTGAAAGAGTAAATAAAACTGAAAGGGAGAATAGATACTGTGAAAGGGAAAGAAACTGCTTAATAGGAAAGAAGAACTGGGATGAGGGAACAAGAAAAAATAAGAAAGAAGAGAAATATATATATATATATATATATATATATATAGACACACACACAAGATAGCTAAGATAATTGCACTACTAATTTCTATTGGTTTATTGAAAGAATCATGTTTAATTGTTTGATCAATCTTGCATGCTTGTGTTTGGTAAGCTGAGCAACTACTTTGAAGATAACCGTAAGTAATACAATAACCATTGTAGATTTCCTATCATCTTGTTTTGAAATTCTGTATCATTTTTTAATAGTTTTTGTGGTTTTATTTTTGTCTTTGTTTTTGTTCTTTTCTCTTTAAAATAAAAAAAAAAAGATGCAGCAGGAGGCCCTTACTAGAAGCTGACCAGATGTAGCTGCCTGATCTTGGACACAAACCACAAGCCAAAATAAACATCTTTCCTCTGTAAAGTACCCAGCCCTGGGTATTTTGGTTTAGCAATAGAAAACAGATGAGGACAGCCGGCATCTGTGACTTGCTATTTTCCCACCTGCCCAGCCCAAGGTGAAGAAAACTGTGTCCCCCTTCTTCCTGCCTGGACCCCAGTGCCTGGTCCTGCTTGGTTCTCAGAGTTACTGGCCCAAGAGAGGTGGGACTGGCTTATCATGGAATAGAATATGTCATCGTCAGTATTACTGTCTTTAAAGTAGGCCTGGCTGATGATATTTTGTTAGTTGCCTGGTGGGGGCAATTCCCTGAGGCCATTTCCTACTTTCTCCTTGAGCCTTATGGAAATATTTAGGGTAAACGGGAATATTTGCCCAGGGAAGCAGGAGACATTGGTCTTACAGGAAGGGCCCAGCTTGTGTAGGGTAAGTGTAGCCTCCACATGCTTCACATACCTGCAGGCGTGGCTGGGCCTTGTGCATGTCCCCCCAGCTCAGAACCCACACTTGGTCATGCGACTTGTCATAGGACAGCTTAGCCGGCAGGGGGTCCACACCTATGGACTTGAAAAAAAATAGCGACAAGTTGGTCATCCTTGTGGTGGAAGCTGATGCGATGGCCTTTTCCGGGCTTGGTGTCCATGGCCGTCATTCCCGGGGAGTGGAAAGCTGGCCTCTCAGGGCTGCCTGCTTGGAAAGCCAGGGCAGAAGCCTCCCCTCTGGCCGGCATTATCCTCAGAGGCCTATAATTGGTCAATAATGTCCTCTCTCTCTCTTTAATATCCTCTCATTTAAGGACTTTCTTTCATCTTTTACTTGAAGGGACCCAGACTAACTCGGCTAAAGCCTGAACACGGAGGTTTTTCGTTTACCACTCAGAAACCAGCTCCAGGGGTCCCGTTTCTCTTCCTCCTACAGTTGTAGGTCCCTTTGCCCACTCAGCACCTTTCCCTCGCTGCTCTGTGTCCCGGATTCGTCCTTTCCCAGCGCCTCTGAGGTGGATTCCGAGTTTGTTCATTTTCACCCCCTCTCTCACCTTTGTTAGACTCTGAGTAACTTCTTTCTTGGCACATCCTTAAGCTAAAGCCTTTGGGATTCAGACGGTAATATCAGGCAGATTCTCTTTAACTGCAGAATCTGAAATTCTGCTGCCTGAGGAAGCCATAGCTTCTTCTGGGGCCCTGTCACACGATGAAAGCTATTTTTAAAAAACTTCTTACCATGTAGTCGTATAAGTCCCAAAACTTTACTCAATAATTTTCATGTCATAAGGCCTGAACCCCAGGGCTTTCTGTTGCCATTCACTGGCCAGTGTCCCAGTTACTCCCTTTGTTCACTAAATATGTTGACCTGGATTCACTGTCATCTTTTCTATTACTCACTCCGTCACCAGGCTTGGTGCCTTCAAATCCATCCACATGGTTGCTTTGTCCAAAGCTGGCGTTCTTAGCTCCTTCCTGGTTTCAATACTCTTTTCCTCTATGCCCCACCCCCCAGCCACCAGAACTTGTACCTGGTCACCATAATTTCTAAAATTTCAATCTCAACAAACTACATTGAAGCTTTTCTGGTTGGGTGAAAAAAATTAACCATCTTTGCACAACCTGGTCAGAACTTCTCTAAGGACTCATCTATGGAGCTGCTGTTTTCACTTCTTTTTGACTCATTTCCACCAAATTTGCATCCTGTCCCCTCCATCGGAGTGCCCCAGTCCTCTCTGCCGAGTCCGGAGATCACGTTGTGATCCTTCTCCGCACGATTCAACAAGATTTCCTGTAGTTCATCATTTCATTTTAGACATGTTTTCTTCCTTCGACTTCCCATCTCCCTGGCTTCTCCACTTTCACCTGACTTCTTGTGGTTGGTATCTCCCACCTGATTCTCCCCTCCTACACCCTTCTCCTGGTACTGATTCCTAATAACCTCTACACTCTGGTGACGATAGGGTGATTCATCGTTAATGCCCTCAAGGTAGGATGCACAGAACCGAGCGTCTCATGACTCAGCAGTGCTAGTTACTGAAACACGTTTCGTCTCCCTGCACCATCCCATTTGAAGAGTCCTTTTACTTTCCCACTCGAATTAAAAGCTCCTGTCCCTCCACGTCTCAAGGTGAGACTCTTTCTGTTTTTCTAGACCTGACCTACTCTGATCCTCTGTACCGTTCAGGGAGCCCACCTGATTCCCTCCCAGCCAGTTTCCAGGCTACTTCCCTTCCTTTGCCAAAGGCTTTGGCACCCAACATGGTCTTCTGCTTCCCAGAGCTGCTTAGACCATCATAATAATATTAGCTGAACCTCAGCTTTAGCTTCTCTCTCTTCCTCTCCCTCCCCACTTCCTTCCTTCTTTCTTCCCTCCCTCCCTCCCTCCTTCCTTCCTTCCTCCTTCCTTCCTGCCTTCTTCCCTCCCTCCCTCCTTCCTTTCTGCCTTTCTCCCTCCCTCCTTCCTTCCTTCCAGACAGGGTCTTGCTATGTAGTTCAGGCTGGCTTTGAACTCACTGTCTAGCCCAGCCTCAGCCACTGGAATGCTGGGATTCCAGGAGTGTACCACCATGCCTGGGTCTTGTTCTCTTAAAAAAGAAAAAAGCCCTTTTTGACTCCCCATTCTCTTCCAGCTACTCCATTTTTCTACTCTCTTCAAGCAAACTTTCTCTAAAATCTGAACAGAGGCTATTGTTTTTCCTTTCTGCTTAATCTTCCCCTATCAGATTTCACATTCCTGTTTGGAGGCAGTGTGGAGGAAAGGGTGAACAGTTAAACCAACATCTCTTAAGTTCAGAACAGAATTTCCCATAGTTTTAATATTCTGAGGAGCGAAGATCTGGCAGGGGAGAGGTCCTGGTAAAACTAGCAGGCTCTCCTTTGAAAGCCTCACAATGAGGGCAGACAGAGAGGCAGCCCGAGCCTTGTGGAAGCTCTAAGCTGACCCAGTTTCTACTCTCTGCCCGGCAGAAGAAGGGGTAGATACTTTCTGATGGCTGACAGTCATTTAAAGTCTCTACAATTTTTATATATAAAATGTGTGGCTTTAAAAAATGATTAGGCAGGGTAAGAGGCAGATGATATGATGTAAACCAACAGTAAATGGCCAACAGGTGATCTATGAAAAGATAATTAAGAATTTATATATAGACAGAAAATTAAGTTGAAATTTAAAAAGTGAAAAATGAAATACCTGAAATAAGATCTCAATAAATAGGTGTTATTAAATCCATATGAGACACAGCAGAAAACAGGTTGATAGAACATATCCAAAATGAAGCAGAAGGAGAAAGGTCTAATTTTTTTTTTAAAACAGAGTCCAGAAGGAGAGAGAGAGAGAGAGAGAGAGAGAGAGAGAGAGAGAGAGAGACAGAGGAGGGAGGCAGCAGAATACTTGGAGAATTGCTGAGATTTCCTGATGATAAATACAAATCCACACATTCAAGAACCTCCGCCAACCCCAAATCGGAATAAACGCAAAGAACACCGTACCCAGGTACTACATAAACTGCTGAGACCAAAGGAAAAAAATCTGAAAAGCAGAGAGGAGAGAGATGCATTACCTTTAGAAGAACATCAGCAAGACTGAAAATTGGCCTATCGTCAAAAACAATGGGAGACGTCGGGCGACATCTTAAAATGCTGAGAGAAAATAGTTGCCAGTCTAGAATTCTTCACGTGGTGGGAATAACTTTCAGAAATGAAGAGAAAATAGATACTTTCAAAGAGACAAAACCTGAGACTCTCGCCAGCAGGCTATTGCTATAAAAAAAAACACTAGGCATTGTGTTAAAAAGTGAAAAATGAAATTAAAAATTTTAATGAAATTTCAAAATGATTAAAAAATGATCCTCTGTACTCTGGCAAAAGAGCACTAGAAGGTAGGTATATGGGTAAATACTAATGATTGCTCACTCAAGTAATATGTCTTGTGGCATTCAGTGAAATACAGAATTAAAATTAGTTATCATAATAATGCAAAAGACACAGCAGGGTTAAAGAAGTTAAAGTGTTCCAGCATTATTGGGGAAATGAAATGACAACTTGTATGTGTTGGTATTGATGCAAGGATGCATGTTACAACCCTCTGGTGTTAATAACAACATAAAAGAGTGAATCTTTAACAAGATAATAGACAGTAAAATAGAATTAAAATGTTGGGGGAATCCGAAGGCAAAAGGAGAAAAAAGCAGTACAAATATGTAGGTCCAGTAAAAAGACAGTAGGTACAACTCAACTATATAATTAAGCACATAAAGTATAAATGGATGAAATACTTCAAGTATAAGACTGAGATTCTTTAACTAGAGAAAACCCCAAGTCTACCATGTATTGCTTTATGAGTGAATACCTTAACTGTAAGGACATCGAAAGGCTGAAAGTACAAGGATGGAAAAATTATGATACAAGAATGCTAATCAGAATACATCTGATTTAGCTCTACTAATATTAGGCAAAAACAGACTTTCAAGTAAACAGTATTAGCAGAGATACACATTTTCCTAAGAATAAGAGTCTTCCTAGCAAAAGATACTATAACTTCAGAGAAAAAAACGGGCAGAACTCTGAGAAATAGATAAATGTCCCATCACAGTGGAAAATTTTAACACACTTCTCAGCGGCTGATAGACTAAGAAGACAGAAAATCACTAAGGCTAGGAGACCTGAACAGTACAATGAATCAAAGTGACATAACCGACATACGTAGAATACCACACCTAGCCATCAGAATACACATGGAACATTTACCAGTATCGATCATAAGCTCAGTTATAAAAACAAGCTTCAATAAACTCCAGAGGACTGAAATTATTCAAAGCGTGTTCTGTGGTGGGGAGAATCGATTACACAAAGATAGGCAGAAAACCTTCTGTGGTATTTGCCAAGAGAAACCACAACCTGGCTGATATCCAACCTTTGCGCACAATGAGCTTGCGCCCGGCAGCGGAGCGCTGGTGGCAGCTCTGTGCATGGCTCTCAGGGGCCCTGCTGCCCCCAGCAGCCCGATCCCGTGCTCTTGGTACACTCAATCCCACATTTAACTTTTGCCTCTTTCCTCAAACCTTCCTCCTTAGTGGCAGTTTTCCTTGTTTCACTGAGAAAATAAAAGCAACGAGATGAAAGTTCATCTAAGTACCACCCACCATGTCCCCTTGCATGGAAGACTTTGCACTTCCTGCTGTCTTGGTGGAAGAGCGCTCTTTCAGGAAAGGCTAGCAGCTCACGGGCTCTGACTCCAGCTCATGGGTCCGCTGACTCCTGCCTACTTCAGCAATGCGGGGTGTGTGTGTGTGTGTGTGTGTGTGTGTGTGTGTGTGTGTGTGTGTGGAGACGGACGGGATGTATATTTCCAGCCATGGACACACACGGTGATGTTACCTACTCTAAAAAAGTCCCCTTGGCACTGGCTTTCAGTGACTGCCTCGTTCATCTACTTCATTTCCCTGCGCAACAAAACGGCTCCATAGCAGTTCTAACCCAGGTCCCCTCCAGCGCACCTATGTTCACCACTGTCGTCCTTTCTGCGGTGCCAAGCCCAGTGGCCAGTTCTCAGTCTTCGTGTCCTGCAAATGCTCTCCAGCAGCGTTTGACACCACTAACCGCTAGCTCACCTTTGACGCGCTCTCACTCTGAGCAGCTCTCCTGATTTTCTTGCTGCCTTTCCGGTCACTCCTTCTTGGACGTCTTTGTTGGCGTGCTCCCTCCTTCCTGATCATTAAATGTAGGAGTGACCCAGGCCCCCTACCTTGGTCCCTTCTCCACCACCCTGGGGGATTCTGTCCGATGTCACCCAATTGACGCCTTTGGCTTAGACCTCTCTTTAGACTTCAGACCCATTTGTCCTTCTGCTTTCTTGATGTCTTTGTTTATTTATCTAATAACATTTCAAACGAATTTCTCCCCAGTCTGATCTCTGCTTTGCCCCCTGCCCGCCCAACGTCTCTTTTACCATAGCGTATTCGTTCCATGTGGTCGCAGTGACAAATTACCATTGATTTGGGGGCTCAAAGCAACACAGATCTATTCTCTTACACTTCTGCGGACCAGACAGTCAAAATCGATTTCACTGGGATAAAAGCAGTGTGTCAGCAGCGCCATGCTCCTTCCCGCAGCTCCAAGGGAGAACCTGCTTGCCTTTTCCGGCCTCTGTGGCTGCATCCCTTGTCTGACGCCCGCTTCCTCTGCCGTCAGCGCCAGCAGTGCACCATCTTGCTTCAAGCTCACGTTGACCCCTTTATTCTGGGGCACAAGTTTCTTTCTGCTCCCTCTGATCAGCATGCTCGTGACTGCGCTTAAGACCCACCCAGATAATCCAGGTTAATTTCCTGGTGTGAAAATCCTTCATCACATCGACGAAGCCCCTTATGCTCTCTCAATGGATGTTCATAGCTTCCAGGGACTAGGGTGCGGATCTTGGGGTCCATTATTCAGCCTGCTACACACTGTAGATGGCACCATCATCCTATGCTCAAGCTGACAAGCAAGCAAACACCTCGATACTCTCTCAAACTTACACTCCTGCATCAGAAAATCTTCTAGGCTCTGTTTAAAAGCCATCTAGAGTCTGGTCACTTCTCACCACCTCTGCTGCTGCCATGCTGTCTTGTCTGGCTTTAGTCCCCACTCCCTGCGTCCTCTCGCCAACAGGAAATGTAGGTCGGGGCACGTCCCTCTCCCATGAGCTTGCCTTGCTCCCCCTGGCCTCATTACCGCACACCGCTCTCCGTCTGTCCTGCTGGTCACGGCTTTCAGATCTAGCACTCCGTTCACCTCCAGAGCGCGGCCCAACTTCAAGTGGTCTTACGGTTCCTCTGTTACATTTCATCTGTTTTTTCACAGTCCTCTCACTTACAGTTCCTGGAAGTTTGGATTAGGTTCTGGCTCCTGATGAGAATCTAAGGCCTGGGGCCTGCTATGGTCGTTCATGGCTACTTCTAAGTGCTAGAACAGTGCTCGATGCAGAGTGCCCAATACACACCCGGTGAGGAAGTGCACGTGATGCTGCCCCTGCCAGCGGTGCCCCAGCATTTGGAGTCTTTCTCCCTCCTTTCAAAATGCGTACCTGTAGGACTTTCTGGGCTTGAACATCGACCACAAGGATTCTGCTCAGCACCGGCTGGGCCACGTAGATGTACCGGTTCCTCACGTTGACTGCAGACGCCCACTGGCACTGCTGGGTGGAATCTCCTTCTCGGGGACAGATTTCTTTCTGTAAAGAGAGACAGGCCATGGGCATTCTTCCTTCCCCTCCCCTGACCTTCCTCGGTCCCCCCTTCCCACTTCCTTGGGATTGACGGAATATTGCTCACAAACCTTTCCATGCACCCATTTCTTCTTCCACCTCAATGGGACAGTTCTGTCACCCCCTCGGTCCCCTCTCAGTCAGCAGTTTCAGTATTCTGTCTGGTTCCCTCTTCCTGCCTCCGTCACTGGCTCAGACTCCTTCTCCACTTCCTCATTTCCCCTCCGGCTTTAGTCCTTATCCACAAAGCTGACACTGTGCTCACAAGGTCCACACGGACTCCTTAGCTGTTAAGTAATACAGGAGCCAGCACTGTACCCGCACTTGAGCCGTCGTCTGGAGGTGCTGGCCATCGCTTGCTTCCCTTCCCTCCATCCACCCGCACTGGCTGAGCCTTCTCTGCTCTGTTTGCAGATCTCTCTGTCGGAGTCCTAGGCTTCCCTCCTAGATTTCTTTTCTTTTCTAAACCTCCCCCTCCACTGATCTCATCGAAGCCCATGGCTTGAAATACAGTTCACATGCCCACAGAAAACTATCCCATCCACCTTGTCCTTAATGTGGATTTCAAATTTGAGTGTCCAAAACCAGCTCTCACAGCTACCTCCCAGTTCTGCTCTTTCTACTCAAAAACTGAAAGCTCTCTTGTCTTACTTTCCTAGACCAAAAACTTTGAGCTGATCCTTGAGTCTTCTCCCCCTGCCTTCATTTTCCAGCTAAGACATCCCAAATCCTTTCAGCCTTACCTTAAAAATAGATGCAGTGATTACACTCTTTCTCAAGTCTGTCCGGCACCCTGGCTGCCGCCACACATCTGCCATGGTCTCCAGACTCTGCTCCTTGGACCTAGCCCAGCCTTCCCCAACCCAGTCTCCACGCCATGACCGCAGTGGTTATTGGGAAATGTAAGCCCAATCACGTGACTCCTCGACTTCTCCCACCCTAAAAACAAACCCCCAGTGTTTCCTGAGACCCACAGGGCCATCACATTTTGGTCCCTGCTGTCCTCTCCCTCACGCACCTCACTCCCTGCACACGGGCACTCTTGCTGTGCTTAGATCCTGCCGCCCTCCCACACCGGGCCTCGCAGTGGCTGTTCTCTTTGCCAGGAATGCTCTTCTCCACACGTCTATCTAGTGTATTGTCTTGTTTCTCTCAGTTCTCTGCTTCGATGTCACTTTTTTGAGAGGCCTTCTCTGACCTCAGCTAGTTCAGCAACTCTAGCATGCCTTACGCCCTTAATTCTGCTGTGGTTCTCATTTGACACTTGATTTTATACATTTAATTGTCTACTTACGCAGAATCTGTCTTCTTCCACCAGACTGTAGGTCCTATTTTCAAGGAGCCTAGAGTATCCCATGAAACCGGGCGGAAAATAGAAAGAGGCCTGGTATCGAAGGCTCAGCCCTGGAAGACTTCTTGCCGGCTGGATCTTGAGCAAGGAAGGACTTTTTCTGGATTTACCTCTAGCAATCCTTTCTTCTGCCTCTGTTCCCTCCCTTGTCACTTTCTACTTGGCCTGAGTCTCATTTGTGTGAGCTCATGCTCTCTCCCTAGTCCCCTGGGAGCCACTGAGCGAATGCCTGCCTGGCAGCTGTCTGTTCACATCTCTCCATCCTGTGGCTCTCAGCTTCGGGAGGCCGGAAACCTACGTGTGTCTCTGGGCCTCACCTGGGCTTGGTGCACAGCAGAGGCTGCTGGCTGGAGAAAGGAGAGGTAGAACGCTCAGCCTCCTCTTCCCTCAGCCTCAGAACAACTGGGAACCGCAGCACGCACAGCTAGTGGAAATTAAGATGCACAGGGCACACATAGGGATGACTTTTTGGATTTTTCTGCCTGTGATGTAGAAGCTACCCCGGCCCTAGAAGACTCACGTAGCTCATGAAAATCTTCTCTGTGGGTTTGAGGTGCCTCTGGATCTCGCAGTCCACAGGATGGACGACGACAATGCCATCGTCGGAGAAGACGTAGAACATGTTTCCCACACTGAGGCCTGGGCGGGGGGCAAACACAGCATGGTCGGGCCTCTGTAAGAGCCGGCCTCCAGGCAGGTCACATGCAACACGGAGCACACAAGACGCAGGCAGTTTGGGTGCAGCAGGCGCAGGCACAAAATGCAATTCCTGGCAACAGTGGGCTGGGGTGAGCAGCCAGCTGGAGACACCCTGCTTGATGGTGACGGAGTGTGGGGAGAAAGGGCTCCTAAGGCTGAGAACCACGAAGCCCAGCTCTGCGGTACCTAAGCTGCCCTAAACACACACAGCTGCCCCATCTAGGATTGGCCGCCGGCGTAAGTTTACGAATAACCACGGCCTTGCCTTTGACGTTCATTTGATCTTTCCTTCTGAAACGGAAAACATCCCTCGGGTGGTTGGTGCAGATTAGTCAAAGCAGACTGGTTCAGATGGTGCCAAAAAGTAAAGGCTTTTGTTTTTTAAGCCTTTATAGAGAGTGTTGCTCCTTGCAGTGGGGGCCCGAGGAGGTGTTGGATGGTACTCCTCAGTCCACACTCGGTCCTGGCCTGTCTCCCGCTCCTGCCAGACAGCGCGTCCCAGTGCTGCCCCGCTCTGGGGCTGCCTGAGTTGCAGGGCGGCACACACTCGGCTTTGCCTACCCGTCTGCCCTGGTGTAGGGCTGTGGATGTCTGCGGAGAACATCCTTGGGCCTTGGAGAAGGGCCCCCGGGGGGCTGATAGATCCACTGATTACTTTCAAGGTAAAGAGAAAGAGGACCAAGGACGGGAAGGGCTTGGCTGGGGCTCCTGGCCTCTGTGCCAGAGCTGGGGTCAGACCCTGCGTGCTGCCTCTACCTCAGCCCATCACGGTCTCTCCATAGGGCAGACACGGCACAGAGAGATGTAGGATCGAGTCCCCCCACCCCTCTTTCTCTCTTTCCTGCCCCACTTCTCTTCCTCCTTTCTCCTCCTCTCGTTCCATTTCTTTAATTGGTGGAAAATCAGGATTTATAGAAATTCTAAGAAAAATATGTAAGAATTCTTTTCTAGCATGCTGAGAAAGCTGGTGTGGTGGCTTCATGGACTGTCTAGGTAAGTTTCCAGTGAGTTAGAAAGCAATAAAACTGGAAAATAGGAAGCCACCATCTCGCTTCCTTCCAAAGACTGCAGGCAGTGGTCTTGAGGCTGAGACCACTTAGGCCCTTGGTGACTGGCTGGTTCCAGTGTGCATGGCGGGGCCCTTGGTGTGGCTGGGGGTCCCTGGCAGTAAGGTGACCTTAACTGCTATGACCACCTGTGCTGTGAGGGACTCTGGGTGGGATGGCTCCTGCCACACTGTGTAGCTGGACCCAGCCCTGCAGCAGCTGCTTCAGCCAAGGAGTGCCTCGCCCAGCTCCTGATGGGCAGTCCTGGGTGTCCCTCAGGAGCCACATGAGGCTGGCAGTGCACAGATGCCTTGTCTCCGCCCCATGGCCTCTCCACCTCTCGAGCCAGAATTCCAGCGCACCTGTGCTCTGACCCACTCAGCAAATGGTTTCCACTAACACCCAGGGGCTGGAGCTCCGGTCCCTGCCACACCACAGACCCAAGGAACAGCCTCCCTGGGCTTGTGGGAAAATCTGTAGCGATAAGAACCAATTTAAGATGGAACTCTTGAGTGCAGGAGGGTTTGCAGCAGTAGCTACATTTCCAGTGGAGCCCAGTGCCTGCGCACGGCACTGGAATATGAGGCTCCACAGATGCACTTCCACGCATAACTGACTTCTCAGGTGACCCAGGCTCACGACCCAGCCCCCAGAAGCGTCTGATGAATTTAGCTTCTGCTAAAGGGGTCTGAAGGAGCCTTTGGCTTTGGTTTTGCTTTTGTCTGCTTTCACCATCTCCCTTCTCGTACTGAGAGGTGAGTGTGCCATGAGGCCTGTGGCCCGTCCTTTCGGCTTCTGAATTCCCTATCTCCGCTTCTGGAGCCCTAGCAGGGGAGAGAGCACATGCATCCAGACACCCGGGCCTGACGGAAGTTGCCCGCTGTGGCACTGTTTTTAGAGCTAACCCTGTGCCCTGAGGTAGCTGTGGGTCTGACATGGGCGTTTGGGTTTCTACAGCTCATTTCACACCTCCCAGGGCCTCCTGCATCCTTTCTACCTCTTTCCTTTTGAAACCTGAGGTCCTCTGCAGCAACTGACTTAGCAGGACACCGCCCCGAGCACATGGTGCGCGAGCAGTGGGCACTGTGCCTAGCTGTGAGGCTCAGAGGGCTGGGAGAAACAAGGTGCAGGTTGTACGGCTGCTGTGACAGCAATTCCTCATGCTCCGGCTTCTGCCTCTGTTTTCCTGCAGCCTACAACTTTGGTGCTTGACATTCAGGAAACGGTCTTGAGGCTGTGTCTGCAGAACACGCTAGACGGTGGGGAACACTGTGAAGTTCTTTTGGAGGAACGAGAGGAAACACGTTGGGTCTTCCAGAGGGAGCTATCGTGCTTCCCCTCTCAGGATGGGGTGCATCCCTGCCTCTCACTCCGCTTCTGCCCACCCAGCTGGAGGACAAGTCACCCAAGGCCATTTGGACTCAGATCTGGTTCCGAGGTCGCGGGATGAGGACGGGGACTTGCGCATGCGCACACACAAGCAGCGACCCAGGACTTGGTCCCAGCTCCCGTGTCTTCGAGCTGTTCTTGAACCACATGAAATTGTCAATATCAGACCATTTTTGATAAACAAAAATGGCATTTACATATGGCTCAATCCAATAGCTAAAGATTTGTTTCATAAATAAGATATATGTTTGAAAATCTATACATTGAAAAATACATATTTACAGAAGTCATTGCTTTTCTTTTCTGTAGCATTTTCTCAATTAAAGCATCATTAAGGCATAGCTACTGTCGATACCAGGACGGATATACACCTTTTTTGTGGGGTGGGGGATATCTTTTAAATTCAGTTGTATTCATTTATTTTTAGGAGTGGTAGGGTTTGAATTCAGGACCCCATGCATTCTAGACAAGTGCTGTACCACTAAACTACATCCCAAGCCCTTTGGTCTTTTAAAAACAATATAAGATAACAAAGCATGAAACTCAGCATGAATATCAGCTGCTGGGAAAGCAGAAGGCCCAGATCTGATCGCAAGGTTTTGCCAAGTGGTCTGTTTCAGCCAAGGTTATGAGCAGCTTTCGATGGAAACTTTCCATTTTCAAATATACTAACTAGTTTTTAATTTGCTTCGGTGTGTATACCGTTTGAGTGTGACGCTGACCTCCCCTCACCCATTGGATTTGGCCCATGGGCCCTACTGGTGCACTGCTCAGTGTCCCAAAGCTGACAGCAGCTCACAGAGACGTGGACCCTCACGGAACCACAGATACACACGGTCACAGGCGCGACACAGAACAGTCAGGTGCGGTACCTTCCTCTCTCCAAAGAATGTTCGCCACTGCACAGCAGGGAGGAGAGCAGGGACATGATTGCCAGAAGGAAAAAAGAAAGCGAGGTCAAACCTTGACTGTCGTGATTCATTCCGCGGAGGAACACACTGGTACTCGGCCTGTCGCTTACAGAGTTTGCACCATTCGTTAGCCCTAGCTAGAGTATCGGCCCAGCAGCTGTGGACGTGAGGGCATGCTTCCGGGTCTTGGGGCCCTTTTGATTCCCACATGAACCTTTGAAATTAGGCCCCAGGATCACAGCAGCTAATGAGATTCCCGTATTTTGTGAATGCTAAGGAGTAAAAATCGTTTCTCCCAGATTTCCTGAGTTATTGCCAGGGGAACTGATTTCTTCTAGGGTTCTCCTAGGAAGAACATGTGAAATCCTTCTGCTTATCTTCTTTGATTACAAAGGCTTAGCTTGGAGTCTCTGAGCGAGGGCAAGAGACTGGGATCAGCATCCATGTCCATGAATTCTTACTGCAGGCCTATGGCGTAGGGTGAGGGGGACAGTGACTAAAGGGATAGCATGCCTCGCACACCATTTGGTTGACAATCCCTGGAATAAGGGCCCCCATGCTCCCAATGGTGCACGTGTCCAATACTCCCTCATTATCTGTGGGGGTCACGTTCTGAGGATGCCAGAAACTGGACAGTACTGAACCCTAGATAGTCTATTTTTCTCCAATATGTATGTGCCTACAATAGTCTATAAATTAGGCACAGTAAGAGTTTAACTGCAACTAATAGTAAAACATGACAATTATAACCATATACTGCCATGAAATTATTAAGACTTATGAAATTTTCTATTTCTGGAATTTTCAATGTAATATATTCAGACCAAACTGCAGATGAAGGTGGATACCCCATGCACGAGCTAGTCTGTGGCTCACTATGGATACAGCACCTTGTGGGTGGATGGTATGAGAACTTTTGCGACCAAGAGGCGGAGGTTCTGGTCACACAGCAATAGGAGGCAGAAGCGGGGCGGGGACACTGGAGCCCCCTTGTGGTTGTGGGTGCTGTTTGCCATCCGGAGACTTCTGTGTGTCTCCAGAGCTGACCAGGGGTTTTATGCACAGAGACTGTGAGTTTACTACAGTCTTCAGGGGCTCATGGTTGGAGGCTGTGGCCCCACCCATTCTGTGCCCTTTTGCCACCTGACACCCCCAACCAGCTCGGCCAGGAGCTTCAAGGCAGCGGTGAACTCACGGGTCTTCCTGGCTGAGTCCTCAATGAAGAGTGAGGAGATGTCTTCGTCCACACCTACTTCGTTCTTGGCAATGCAGGTGTATGCGCCTGTGTCTTCATACCGAACGCTGCCGATGTGGAGCTCGCTGCCGTTGGCTGCAGAAAGGACAGTGCTGGGGTGGCCAGTCATAGCCCTGGGCAGGGCAGGCAGGGCAGAGCAGGGTAGGGGCAGGGGCAGGGGCAGGGGCAGGGGCAGGGGCAGCCAGTGTCCTTGATAATGTGCCCAAGAAAGAAGGGCACAGCTGAAGTGACCCAAGGGTGACCTGGAAACTGATTGACAGTTTCTCACTACGGCTCCTAGGATATCCCCAAGAACGACGGAAGCCTAGGTATTGGGGAAATCTGAGGGACACATCCGTTGCCTCCTAACACGTTGGACACAGAAAAGAAGCCTGTCTCTGTTTCCACCCATGAGGGTCAGCTTGGGCTGGATGGGAATAGCCCATAGACACGTGGGGAGTTCTTACCCAAAAGGGACAGCTGTTTGGACATCTGGGCTGAGACATCCATGCCGTTTTTCAGCCAAGTGATTCTGGGCGTGGGAATGCCCTCCGCGTGGCATCTCAGGCTGGCCGCCACCCCGGGCTCCTGGGCCTGAGTTTCCGGATAGACGCGGATGACCGGGGGCACTGTGGGTGAGAAGCAGCACAGGTTAGAGACGGCCCGCGTCTGCCTTGTGCTCGTGGCCCGACCCTGATGCTGTTCCAGAGACTGAGCCCAGGAGGTGACTCAGGACTTCTCTCTTTGCCGGCTCACAATGATCCTCTTTGGCAGCCCAAGGTCTGAGAGAAAGGGCTGTGAAATGGATTGCAGGCAGTAAACACGTCAGGCATTGTACCCTGTAATTCATGGCTTTCATCGTTATTCTAAGTATGATCACAAAGACATCTAAATATTTAATGCCATTCAGCTGCTACATGTAAAGAGCAACAGTCCCTGGAATTTATTTCTGAATGAATAAAACTCAGATATATTATTTCTGTTATCGGAAAGCCATTGGGCGGGGACTTAATTTCTTGTAGGAAATGCTTCGCAAAGCACTTATGGGCACTGACAGGCAGGGTGACTAATTACATCACTGCTCTGGGAAGCTCACTGATTTTTCAGTGGGCCATCTTTATTTCCTCACTTCCCAAGTCCTGGAACCCAGGCGAAAGGCCAGGTGTGCCCTCTTTGGCTGGGGAGGGACTTGGCCCAGGGCTGCAGCAGTTAAGCATGGGGCTGAGGGTGTGGCGCGGCCCACTGGCCAGATCAGCAGGGAGAGGTGGGGCGCTAGGACCTCCCAAGGTGCCCCGGTGCTTCTCTCACAGGCGGGCTGTGGGCAGACACCGGGTGAAGACTGCCTGGAAGACCCTTCTCCCTGCTCTTCGCTCTGGGCCCAGGAAATAAAATCAACAGCATTTTCAGTAGCAGTGAGCGTTTATAGTTATCCATACATTCTACTCTACGTATTTCCAAAAGGGATTTGTGGGAGTTTATGTAAAGATACCTGAGTATTAAACTAAACAAATGAGTGCATCACATATGTTTTGGAGATGGAGAAGGATTCTCCCTAATGTAGACAACTATATTTCCCTAGGAGTATCTGGAAGCTTCTGTTGTTCAATATAAAAAGCATCCCAGTACTTTAGTAACAGAATTTTTTTTGGGGGGGGGTACCAGGAATTGGACTCAGGACCTTGTGCTTGCCAGGCAGGCACCTGTGCCCCTAAGCTATATCCCTAGCCCCATCCCAGTACTTTAGGAAAGAGCATCTTTCTTGGGATCAGAGCATACAGCAAAGTTATGCTTCTATAGGAGAACACAATGCATATTGAGGTAGTAGAATCCCAGCGATCCATGCTTGGATTGGCAGAGGGCAACAGAAACTCCATCGCCCCATAGTGAGAAATGAACTGCAACTCCTATGATCGACTCAGCTTGAGTTTCAAGCCTTTCCTTGGCCAACCTTGGGGGCAAAGTTGGGGGGCAAAGTTGGGTGACAAAGGTGAAATCCAAATGGATAACTGGCAAAGGCCATGATCTCAGCGTCAAATGGCCCATAGCTGTGTCAATAACTTGAGCTCAGAGAGCCCTGTTCCCAGTAGCACAGAGATCTGAGAACAGGGCTGTCGGCTGTCTTCCCAGCTCCCCTTTGTTACATGTCATCGGGATGGAGGGGCAGATGGCGCTGAGCACAAGCCTGCCTGAGGCCTGCGTGGGACAGACGTGCCTCTCCCTTCTCCACCTCCTTGGTTCACAGAGGAGAGAAAGAAATGGCCCTACTGCTCACCTGGGGAGAGAGAGGGATGGGGTTCAAGTTGAGTAGGTGGAATTGTGGCTGGGAAGTTATAATTAAGAGCACCGAGATGGTGCTTGGGGCCCAGAAGCACTGGCTGTTGGGTGACTACTGAAGGAGGAGAACGGCCAGAGCTCTGGAACAGGCGTGGCCAGGACTTGGGCGTCAGTGAGCTTGGGCTCTCGTTAGATCACCTCTGTACAAGCCTGCCTGGAAACCCCACCCTAAACCTGAAGAAAGCAAAGGAATCAATACATAGAAGCGGAAATGGATGAATCAGCTAGAAAGCCAAGAAAGAATAACTGATAAATAAATCTAGAAGCGGGCTGTTTATAAACACCAATAAATTTGTTAAATTATGGTACGTTTAATAAATGAAACAGAGAAAGCATCAAGTGTATTAGAAATGTGAGACTACTATATTCAATTGTGGGTAATAAATGTGAAAATTTTAATGAAACAGATCATTTAAGAGGAAACTTTAAAGTACCAATGTTGAATTAAAGAGGGAGTATTTTTAAAATTTTAAAGCAATGCTAATCCAAAAGGGAATCTCACTAGTTATATAGATTTCCTTTGTATACCAAAGGACTGGATAATTCCCAGAGCATAGACATTCCAAATTCCACCAAGAAGCTAGTATAACCTGAGCACCAAAATCTAACAGAGAGCAAGTGAGCGAGAGAGAGGGACAGGGACAGGGA